CTGCTACTGCTACTGCTAGTGCTAGCGCTACTCCTCTAATCTTCTCCAGGCTGCAAGTTGCCGTTGGACAGTGCCGCTGCCAGCTCCAGGCCGAAGGACTTGCCCTGGCGAGCGTTTCCCTTAAAGGCCGAAGATGAAGCTTCGAGCTTTCCCCTATGAAGATCGGTTATCGGGGGGCCATGAGAGCCACCTAGAAGCACCCAAACATCCCGGCAGCGCAACCCGAGTCCACTCGAAACACCTGTGACACCTCGGTCACAAACACAGGCTCCTCCCCCTGCCTCGTGGTGCTTCTTGGGGCTCGGCGGCGTGGCCGGTGCCGCACGAAAGAAGAGGAAGGTGAGGGCAAGAGACCTCGGAGATTCTGCCAAAAAGAAAAGTTCCCCCCCTAGAGTCCGGACAAGGCACAAAGCCGACCAGGCGAGGTGGAGGTAAAGCATCTGACGAAGGCCCAGCGTCGCCGGCAGTATGAATCCCACGGCTGCGCCAACAGAAATTGAAAGCCTCTGCGACAGGAAACAACTCAACGAGTCAAGTAAGTCGGTTGGCGCATCAGCAACGCTTCTTGGCTGGGGGACAAAATGCGCCATCGCTATTCAGACTTGAAGCAACTTGATGCTCTGCTCCTGCAAACGAGTCTATGATGCGATGCCAAGCGTCGAAGCCAGCGTGTCTGCCAGCACACGCTGGTAGGCAGGGAACCAATCTGCCGCGATCCTGGCGCAAGAGGCTCAACACGCCAGCTCAAAGTCAAGTAGCTCGAGTGCCATGTTTCAATGCAAGCCGGGATGACTTTGGCGGCATGTCAGTGAAGAACGGTTGTCCGACAGCAGCCAGCGCTTGTCCAGCCATCACCTCATTCTTACCATTGCATGTTGGGATGTTCGACAAGGCGCTTCATGAACACAAACTCGCCTTGCTAAGGAGTCTGGTGAGTCTGCTCTTCATTCCCCTTCTGGACTACGTGGGCAGTCTCTCCCAATCCGATAGCTTCGAGTGCATGCCCGGAAACCCGACGCCTGCACCCCGCAGGGCGTGTTACTGCTGTTGTCAATCTTGCTCAAACGGGATCGGCCTGTATCACACTGCATGACACACGTCCAAGATGCCAGGTACCGGGCGGTGACAGGGTCAGCAGGCAGGCACCTGGAGAAAGGCACCCATGAGCACTTTGGGATGATCATCACGGGCCCTCCCATACTTCTCAGCCTCAGGCCTCAGGACTGCTCCAAACGTCTGG